GTGTGTGTGTGCGTGTGTGTGTGTGTGTGTGTGTGTGTATGCGTGTGTGTGGCCTGCAGATGGGAGAGGTCAAGTTAGAAACATGTGGACATTACAAAAGAACATTCTCTGTGTGTGTTTAGTCGCTCCCCTCTTTATCCACTAGATGTGAGAGATTACCGTGAAGAGAGAAAAGCAGGCAAGTTTATTTGAATAGCACTGTTCAGACACAAAGAGAATAGAAACAGTCACATGTTAAAATCCCTCAGAGTATGTTAACAAAGAGAAAATCCAGATCTTTCGCCTCTGCTTTAATGTCAGTCGCTGTGATTGATTTTATTTTTATTTCAATCATTTATCTTTTTATTGTACATTCATGAAGCACTTACTATATTTACATTCTTTCGTTTATGGAGACCTGTAGATTGTTATGTTACCTACTGCGCTTACAGTAAAAACATACACATGCAAATATATATAAATACATAAATATACAAGCAACAGAACTTCCCATAGTTTTAACAATGTGTTTACAATTTTAATCTGGAATGGCAACTTTCAACGACACAGGCAGCCGATGCATTTAAGAGCACAGGGGAAAACGTACTTGTGAAATGTATTTGGGCACATAAGCTTTAAGCGGCTGAGAGAAAACCCACATGTTGAAGTAAGCACGGCCTTAAAACAAACTGTATTTTATTGGACAAGTAGCTGTAGTATTTATTATATCCAGTTCCTTTGGAAATATATATTTTTTATGACTAAAATGAAGATAAACGTGGCCAAATTTGAATCATGTCTGACTTGAATTTTTGGGATTTTGTGCACTCTCGCCTTACATGCACAAATAACAATCTATTATAATGTATTAGGACATTTTCAATAGATGTTTAATGTAGAATATTCTGCATATTTGTCGATTCTAAATCCTACTTGGAAAGAGGTGCTGAGCTGCAGGTTGGAGACCCTGCTCTAAAGTGATGGAATCAAGTTTCTGTATAAAGCCTAAAGATCTAAACCAAGCAGCGCTGACACCTGTTCGACATCCACTTGAGAGACTTTAACCACCGCTCGTTCTGTTTGCAGACAGTTTGAAACATTATCCTCTGTATACATTATTTACTGAGCGTTCGCTGCAGCGTCTCTCAGATCCTCGTGCAACAGAAGATGCTTTCTAATGGACGAGCATTTTGTTCACAATTAAAGTGCATCCCGCGGGAGCCGGGGCCTTTAGACTTGTGGAAATACTGCGGCAGCCTCGGGCCGCGTGCAGACGTGTCACTCACATGTGTGGTAATAAAGAGACTCAGCGGAGATTCCCTATTGCCGCCTGAGCACAAGCCACTGCCCCGAGCATGTCTCATCTCACAGCGCTGTCACTCCTGCCTCCTGCATCCATTAACACTCACCATTATCATGCTAATCTACATTGTATGATTACATACAGTAATTTATGCACCGCCTCTGAAGGGAAGTGTCCGCCTATTGTTGAATGTTTTTAACAGGAAGCCACCCATTTATAACATTTGCTCTGTTTTCCTTCAAAGTTCTACTTTCCAAGTTGCATCTTGATCAATAAAGTGTCGGAAAGAAGAAGTCGTAGAATCGAAGGCCTAGTGAGAGAATAATAGCAGGAGTCACAAACAAAGCCATCCTCCCACTTCCTCACAGTTGTCCATATTGGAGATGGAGCCATGTGTTTGTGTTGGAATCAGGGCAGAGATGAGTTCTCTTCCTCATTTATTCACAGCTAGTGGAGTAATTAGGAATGCAGAAGGCTGTTAAATTAAAACTGAATTGCACTTATTAACATTTTAAGTACCAACCCCACCCTCTTTAGACACTAAACAAGGACAGTTTGAGCTGTAATGCGCCTGAAGAGCGGCGCTGAGGGGAGCCTTTATGTTTCTCTAAAACAAAGTCACATCTCCTTTTGTTTAAACAAACCAGCATTTAACATTCAGCTCCATGTGCTGCTCTGCTCTCTGTCTGGAGACTCCAGAGCTGCTCCGACTCGCTGCTTAATGGAACACTATTTGTGGTCAGATTGGATGGCTAATAGTGGTCCCTGTGAGAGTAACTCTCCAAATTAAATAGCATGGATTCACATCTGTCAGACAAAACCAGGGGGCTCTTTGTAATCAATGACCCAAACCAGGAGATGCTCTGTGGGGGCTGATGCAGAGAAAGAGCCCCAGGGCTGGGGGCCACTCACCTGCCCTCACCAACATGGATCCGGCAGCGACTGGGTTAATGCACATTTATAGAACAGGTCAAACTACTTAAGCTGCTCGCTGATTTATAATACTGGAGCAGGATGTGGAAAAACTGTGAAGGGAATTCGTGTTTGTCTAAGCAAACATTGCCGACGGTGTTTTGTTAAAATGTTGAACCCCATTAATTTTATCACTCCCCCTCTCTTGTTTCTCTACGTCTTTAAATTTTGTTTGGAGGAGAGACTAGCAGGACCTCCCGCTGTTCTGGAGAATTTCCTTTCGTTGTTAATTTTCCCCGCTCCATATGGCGCCACAGACACGTCACCTGCGGGCTGTGTCAGGCTGTAGCAGGTTGTATCAGGCTGTAGAAAGCTGTAGAAAGCTGTAGCAGGCTGTAGCAGACTGTAGCAGACTGTAGCAGGCTGTAGAGAGCTGTAGCAGGCTGTATCAGACTGTATCAGGCCGTATCAGGCTGTATCAGACTGTATCAGGCTGTATCAGACTGTATCAGACTGTATCAGGCTATATCAGGCTGTATCAGACTGTATTAGGCTGTATCAGACTATCAGGCTGTATCAGGCTGTATCAGGCTGTATCAGACTGTATCAGACTGTATCAGGCTGTATCAGGCTGTATCAGACTGTATCAGACTGTATCAGGCTGCATCAGGCTGCATCAGGCTGTATCAGACTGTATCAGGCTGTATCAGGCTGTATCAGACTGTATCAGACTGTATCAGGCTGTATCAGGCTGTATCAGACTGTATTAGGCTGTATCAGACTGTATTAGGCTGTATCAGACTGGGCGGCACGGTGGCTGAGTGGATAGCACTCTCGCTTCTCAGCAAGAAGGTCCTGGGTTCGAATCCCGGTCGGACCAGGGCCTTTCTGAGTGGAGTTTGCATGTTCTCCCCGTGTCTGCGTAGGTTTCCTCCGGGTACTCCGGTTTCCCCTACCACTAAAAATATGTCCAATAGTTCTGGCATGCGCCTCCTGTACTGGCCCCTCCCATCTCTGTGTGGAGTGAGAGACAAATGCCCAAAATTAACAATTGTAAACCGCTTTGAGACTCAGATCTGCAGTGAAAAGGCGGTATATAAATAAAGATTACTTACTTACTTACTTATCAGACTGTATCAGGCTGTATCAGACTGTATCAGACTGTATCAGACTGTATCAGGCTGTATCAGACTGTATCAGGCTGTATCAGGCTGTATCAGGCTGTATCAGACTGTATCAGGCTGTATCAGACTGTATCAGACTATTGTGTGTCAGGAGGTGATGGGATCTCGGCTCAATCCATCCATCCATCCATCCATTTTCTACCCTTTAATCCATTTCTGGGTCAGGGGGGTGGCAGTCAGAGATGCCACCCAAGTCTCATAGCACCAGCCCCTCACTGACCCTCTGCAGGTGGTGAGTCCACAGGAGGACGGCTGCTCTCTGAGTGTGAGCATAGCCTTGATCTTTCAGTGGGGGCTTTGGGCAAAGTGGGGTTAAGTGTCTTGCCCAAGGACACAACGACAGCAGTCATCAGTGGGAGTCGGTGGAGAAGGTGCAGAGGTGGGAAATGAACCCACGACCTTCTGGCCTTAAGGCCAATGCTCTACCAACTGAGCTACTGTCGCCCCCTCGGCTCAATCTCTGTCTCTAATGTCTCTGATACATCTCTGTCTCTAATGACGACTGCCTCCGTTTGAGTCTCTCTTCTCCACAACAGTTGAAGACAAGGATTTTGACTTTATTTACAGAATTATGAATACATTGAGATGTTTGTTTTTAACTACAGCTCAAGGATGTTCTAAAGAATGTATGTATGTTTAAAGGTGATATCTTATGAAACTAAAGTGCAGACAGAATGCAAAAGGACAACAGATAACAGCCGTAGCTTTGGGGCTAATGCTATAATTGCTAACCTTTTCATTTCTCTGGTGAGGGCTGAGAACATTCCCCCTTCGCTCTGTCCTGATTCTGTGGATTCTCTCAGATCCTGTTTCCGTTGTGGCAGAGATGAGGTTTGAGGTGGAGCCGTCCGTTACAAACCTGTGAAATGTGCTGATAATGTTGGAGAACCTCTGGGGGAGACTTTGTTCAGGGTCACCATAAATCTGAGCGCCCCGGGCTTCAGTTCAACCCACAATGCAACAGGGCCTCACGGAGCAGACACCATCTCACATGTTCCTCAGATACACACAATACACC